AGCGCCGCACAAGCTTCTTGCGGGCTTCGACGGAGACCACTACCAAGCCGTCTAGGAGGTGGCAACCTCCAAGAGTAACAAGCACCACCGGCTTGCAACACGACCACCTAGTGCCACTCGATGCAACCTCACGATGCAATCGCACTAGAATCGCTCACTCACACAATCGAATGATCACTATCAAGTATATGTGTGATGGAGGGCTCCCAAGCACTCACAAGCATGGACACTAAGTCCCCTTAGGTGCTCAGCTCCAGCCATGGCCGAGGGCCACTTCTATTTATAGCCCCAAGGGCTAAACTAGCCGTTACTCCTTCACTGGGCAAAAGTCGGGCTGACCGAACGCTCCGGTCGAGTTGACCGGACGCTGGACCTCAGCGTCCGGTCATCCGCAGACGGCCACGCGTCCTGATCCCAACGGTCACTTGACCTGACCGAACACAGCGGTAAAACTGACCGGACGCTGAAGCCCCAGCGTCCGGTCGTTTCCAGTAAGCTCCCCGAGGCGTATTTCTTCGACCGGACGCGTCCGGTCCACCTTGACCGGACACAGACCAGCGTCCGGTGCAATACCCTCGGTACTGTGCCGACCGACCAGCTCGACCGGACGCATGCTACCAGCGTCCGGTGCTTTTAGACCCAGCGTCTGGTCAGTAGACCGATGCCAGCGTCTTCGCGATCAACTCGTTTTCACTTCTAACTTCTTCACCCTTGCTCCAATGTGCTAACCACAAGAATTTATATCTGGCGCAATAGAAAATTGGCATTCCATTTTCCCAAAGAGGGACCCAAACCCATCTCAACCCTGCAAACACCACCTCCTTTGTAAATGTGCCAACACCACCAAGTGTACACCACCATGTGTATGTGTGTTAGCTTTTCACAATCATTTCCCAAAGGATGTTAGCCACTCAACTTGCCACGCCACTCGATCCTAGCGACGATGCAAAGTTAGATCACTCGAGTGGCACTAGATGACCGATATGCAAACAAGTTTGCCCCTCTTGATAGTACGACCATCTATCCTAAACCCGGCCATATACTTCTCTACACACCTATGACCGGTGAAATGAAATGTCCTAGGTTATACCTTTGCCTTGCGCATTCCATTCCATCTCCTCCAATATCGATGCAACACATGCACCAACACGATCAACAATGATATGATCCACTTCATATCATCACGTGATTATATTGGTTCATCGATCTTGACTTCACTTGCCCTTCACCGTTGCCATCGTCCATCGGCGCCAAGTCTTGCTCAAGCTTCACCGCCATGCGGTCCATCACTCCAAAGCCTTCGACTTGCCCTTCACGCTTGCAACCAGTCCATCAAGCCAAGTCTTGTCTTGATCTTCTCCACCTTGATCACATGACTCAATGTCATGTCTCATGTGCGTTAAGCTCCTTCATCATCACATGTGTGAGCTTTGCAACATCTCTAAGCCATTTTCACCTTCATGGCATATGTTGCTCACACACATGTACCTATGGACTAATTACCTGTGTATCTCACATAAACACAATTAGTCCAACTAGGTTGTCACTCAATTACCAAAACCAAATAAGGACCTTTCAAGAAGGATCTGGGACATGTAAGTATGAAGGAGTGAGCTGCCCTGTCAACTCACTGAATGAAGCACCAAGGCTCCTAGACACTGTAGTCTCTGGCACTAGCAGCGAGGAAGTCTCAGCCGGTGTGAAGCCCGTCTGAAAAGGTGTGAACTGCGGGGCTAGCACTGGCGAAGCAAAATACTGGGACACCTGCTCTGTGGGTGTAGCAAACTGTGCTGGTGGCTGTCCCTGCCTCTGAAGCCTACTAGGCTATAACGCTGGAGTCATAGAAGTAGTGGCAGTCTGACCAAGTTGGGACGAAGGCTATGGCGGTGGAGCCCCAATAGCAGTCACAACATGCTGCATAAATCCAAGAAGCTGTTGCTGCATAAGGATCTGCTGCTGATGCATGGCCTACTGCTGCTGCTGTAGAGCATGTGTCTGCTGCTGAATAACTAGCTGCTGACGCTGGAACTTGTCCTACCGAGTCTGGAACTGTGCGAAAGTAGCAGCTGTCTCCTAAGCCTAGCGTGCCTGGTCCTGCCTCACCCGCTCAAGTATAGCAAGAAGAGCGGGGTCTGTCTACGGTGCAGATGGAGCTGAACTAGAGCTGCCAGCCTCATGATCATGTCGACATGCAGACATCTGAGGAATGGGCTGGTAGTCATCATCAGAACTGTCACTGGGGTCGTTCACGACCATCCCCTCCTGCTGAGCAAGCTCCTCCTCCTCTGTAGCTGCAATGCCCCTGATAATATCATCCTGCTGGGCTGCAGACTCTGGCACATCGGGACGACAGCGCGACTGGCTAGGTGCTAGTGGCATGCTGTGATGGATCATCTGAGTCATGTTGTATGCAGGGAATTCTATCGTAGCACCACTGTACCCAGCAAGCATCTTTGGTGGCTTCATAGTAACTGCCCTGTGAATAAGAAAAGTGATCTAGTGGGCATATGGCAGCTGCCTGCGACCTCTGAAACCTTCTGCAATAGTGTCCTCCATCTCTGACAGAAGAAGATCCCAGATGTCAAATACTGTCTGCTGCATCAGAGAGTTGATAAGCCACAACTGTATGCGAGTCAAGCCCTCGCGATACCCCATCCTCGAAAGCAATGTCCTCCTCATGATAGCCTCAAGCACGTGAGCAGTAGGAGTAAGATCACTGGGGTTCCTGCGCGACCCCTCGCCAAAGGGCTCTATGAAGCAGTGGCGAACCAAGTCTCTAGGGGGCACCAAACCACCATGAGGGTGTCTGAGAGGCGCTGTCTGTCCATAGCAAACCTCATTTAATCTAACAGGCTGCTCCTAAAGCCTGAGTATCTCCCTGACCCTAGTGCTCGTCATCCGGTAATCTCTGCCTCTGAATGCAAAGTGAATATAGTTATGCTGCGGGTTAATCTAGAGAGAAGCATAGAACTGACGAATCCAAAATGGAACATATAATCCGGTCGGTCCAATCAAGTCTGTCAGCCCCGGCAGATATGAAAGGTAGGGGCGAATGTGCTCTCTGGCTGCTGCTACAATAGACTCAATGCTGTAGACTCTCTGAGATCTGAAAACTGCACCACTGTTAAGATATGCATTATAGAAATCCTCCTGCAGTGATGTATAGAAGCCCTCTGATGCTCTGTCATCCCTCCTTGGCGGGAACCACTGCTCAAAGTCCACAAACTTGAGCTGCTACACCTGCTTGGCCGTGGCGGCCCTCAAGTCCAAGTGTGTCATAGGAGGCGGACCCTGTGGTCTAGGCGGTGGACGAGAACCCCTTCGCTGTGTATCTGCCCTCGGTGTGACTGGAGCACGGGTACGACCAGAGCGGCGTAGCTATGGCTGAGGTGCCTGCTCTGTCTCCTCGACCTGCTGTCCCTCTTGAGTCTGCTCTGCTGATGGTGCCTGCTGCTGTGACTCCCTGAGGCTGACCCTCATCAATGGCAACACGCCGTCCTCCAATCTTGAGAGTCCCAGTTGGACCACCATGAAGGCGCTCAACCCGCTTAAGTGTAGCCCTCGCTTCTGGTGAAAGCTGGTCTGCAATGACAACACCACTGCGAGCACCTCCTCTCTCGGCACGCTTTGCGGCCTCTGCAACTGCGGCAGCTCTAGCTGTCTCTGCATCTAGGTACTTGCGCTTCTTTGTTGCAATCTTCTTTGTTGTCTTGCCTTTTGGATCTGCAAGCAAGCGAGGCGGACGCCTCGGATCCTCATCACCTGGACCACCTTCGACGTTCTTGACATGAGCCATCTGACAAGACCTGCTGCCTCTGACAAAGATCAACTGTCGCTGACACTTTCGAGGCTTGACATCGATCCGTACTCGCGAGCTTGGCCCCAAGTTGACTGACAACTGCCACTGAGACCTCAACGGCACCGACTCGCTGCACGATTGAATAGATAGAATATACAAATAATTTCAATTATTCATCTAGAGATACAAAACCCTAAGAAAGTAAGCAATTAGGTATGAAATTGAAACGTGGGCTTGCTACCTGACGAACCGGCGATCCAAGAAGAGAAGAGACGCGACACGCGGGGAACCACCGAATCGGCTAGGGTTAGGGTTAGGCGACGTGGATTGCACTGTGCTGGCATGGGCAGCTAGGGTTCCGGAGGCGGCGTTGACGCACGGCGCGGGTGAAGCTGGACAGCAGCGAGGTGGCATGGCGGTGCTGTGGCGCGCGGGACCAACGGCGTGCGGGCACGGTGGCGCTGGCAAGGGAATAGAGCGGCGCGGGGAGGCGCTGCTGGCGACGGCGCTGGAGGATGCGCTGGCGCGGGGAGGCTGCAGCTGCGGTGGTGCACGGGCTCGATGGAGGATGGCGCGGCAAGCGACGACGCGGGAGCCACGGGAGGCGCAATGCGGCGGCTAGGGCTCAGGTACACGGCGGCGCGGCGAGGTGGGTTGTTCCTAGCTTAGATGCACGGCAGATTAGGTCACAAGGCATATGTGAATGAAGTTTTATTCCATTGAATCTAAGGGTTGTTTTGAAGCTACCTAGTGCTAGTTTTAACAAGTGTACACTACACCTAACTCACTAGACTCACCTAGGTCAAGCTACCCGTCCATACCCCTTAATAGTACGGCCAAAGGAAAAAACATAGTCATAAACTACTTTAAGTGTCTCTTCAACACTAAACGACACTTAGAACTAGTCAATTCTTAATCTTGTCGTCCATCATTTGAAAACCGAAACGATTTCTATCGTAGGGGCATGACCACCTTGATTGTCCAATCGATCTCCGTTACCGTGACCTAACTTCATTGCCTCTGCAAAACACACGTTAGTCGCAATAATCACGCATTGTCATTAATCACCGAAACCCAACTAGAGGCCTAGATGTTTTCATAGTATATTACAAAATTCACAGACAAAATATTAGAAAATTCACAGATAAATTGATATTAGGTGAATCATGATTCCCAGAGATGCAGTACAACGCCGAACTGATCAGATCAATTCCTTCAGTTGCACATCAGGATTTGGTAAAACCATATAGGAGGGCACATAAACTAGGAACCTGGGCCATGTTTCTGGTTCCAACACACATATCTCCTTCACTTCAGCATTGATCAAATTATAGGATAGCATCTTGTATCCTTCCACAGGGAGCAAAACAAGATCCCTCTCGGGATGAAACACAACCACATAGAAAATTTCAGACCAGAATTCATTGCCAGCATAATCAAACAGTATCTTCGTCTGCGGAACCACTTCAATCTCGAACCGGCACTTCAGAATCCAATCCCCTTCCCCGAAATCCTTCAGAATCCAAACCTGCATCATGGTGCAGCCGCAGTCTTCTTGCGCGGCATAATGCAGGAATCCCTGAGACTGTCCGAGGCACCCGACCGACCCAAGCCTGTTGGATACAGGCAATGGAATCAGACGCCACGCCCGGCCCTCTGGATCGACAGCAAGAACCTTCTTCTCGTGGGTGAGCAAATTGACAAAGCCATTGATGAACACACAGCCCATTCCTTCCACCAGCCTGATACGGGAGTCACGGCAAGCGTGGCTCTGCACCCATTTGCCGGTCACCGACGAGAATACCTCGAGGCCCTGCACACAGAAGTTGGTCGCCTCGCACAAATCCAACAATTCGCCACCGCCGTAGTCACCACCGTCGGTGTCAGACAGAGCGTCATCACCGTCGGATTCTTCGAAGTCTGAATCAAAGAAGGGTTCTTGCAAAGTTAAGTACATGGAATCGAGGCGAGGCGCCGTGAGGCTCGAAGGCAGCCAGGGCCAGCGCCTGGAACCCAGACGAAGGCTTCGGGAGAATGGTGAATTTGCCAGTGGCCGGGTTGCAGACATAGTGACATCCACCGGCCCCGCCGCCGGCGCGGCAGAGGAGTAGGCCGTTACAGCAGTCGAGGGGCAGGGCGCGGGCGCCACATGGAAGGAACCCGAGGCCGGGGAACGGCGACGAGCCGGCCGGCGCGAACCGGACAGCGAAGTCGCAGTGGAGGTGGCTAGGGGCGTGGTTGGTGTAGAGAAGGCCGGCGAGGTCCTGGGGCAGCCTGTTGCGGTGGTCGGGCTGGTAGGAGAGGTCGTGCCAGGATCTGGAGACGCACCTGAAGCGACAGAACGACCGGTACGGGAGGCGCCGGAGGATCTCCGCGACGAGCTCCCACGGGAGACGGCAGCCGCCGCCCTCACCGGACTCCGTAGGTTTCCGCCGCCTGCCCGTGCCCCGCAGTGAAATCATAGATGGGCTGGTTCCCCTTGGGCTTCCTCTGGTCGAGTAATGGTCCGGGCCGCATTTTACAGAGCAGAGGGCGAAACCCTTCCTCCTTGCTTCTCCCCTCCGCACTCCGAAGCCGCCGCCACTCACAGCGCTTCACTCCCCACAGACAGCCATGGCGGCAGGCTCCAAGGAGAGGAGGAACCCGGCGACCTGCCTCACCGACGACCTCATCGTGGAGATACTCTCGCGACTGCCCGTCAAGTCGGTCTGCCGCTTCAAGTGCGTGTCCAAACACTGGCTTGGCCTCATCTCCCACCCCGACCACCGCAAGAAGCTGCCCCAGACCCTCGCCGGTTTCTTCTACCACACCACCAGCCGCGAGCGCTTCCCCGAGTTGGCCGGCCACTTCACCAATGTCACAGGGAGCGGCGCGCCCATGATCCGCCCCTCCCTGTCCTTCCTCCCGGACCACGCCGACATCACCCTGTTGGACTGCTGCAACGGCCTCCTCCTCTGCCGCAGCCGGACAGCCGCGGGCGCCAACCGCTACGTCGTCTGCAACCCGGCGACCGAGGAATGGGTGGCGCTGCCTGAGTCCAGCCAAGCTGGTAACATCTGCGAGGCGCGGCTGGGGTTCGACCTGGCCGTTTCCCACAACTTCCATGTGTTTTAATTCGTGGAGACGCATGCAGCACCTGTATATGGCTACTTTGTCGGTGGGCTTGAGATCTACTCGTCGGAGACGGGGCATTGGGCTCACAGGGACAGTGGATGGAGTGACGATGCGGCCTTGTGGGATGGTATGAGCACTGTATTTCTCAATGGATTTCTTCATGTGTTTGCATATGGGCATGAAGATGTTGAAGCTGTACTGGTGGTTGACACCCAGGGGAACTCATGGAGGACCATCCCCGTGCCACAGGGCAATGACGACGGTTTCATTGGACACTCTCAAGGGCACTTGTACTATCTCACTACGGTTGAAGAACATGACTTGAAGCTATCAGTGTATGTTCTTGAGGACTATGCTAGTGATGAGTGGATCTTCAAACATAGTGTCAGCACTTCAAAGTTACTCGGAATGATCAGTTTTGGTCCTCTGCAGCAGTATAATCTGATCACGATTCATCCAGAGTGCCACTTGATATTCTTTGTTTCGGATTTGGACCATACAATAAGGTGCTATGATATGGATAGTAGAAAAGTGCATGTGATCCCCAACATGGGGTGTGAGCTTGACTACAATTATTCGAAACGCTGTTTGTCCTATGTTCCCCTTTTCTCAGAGTCATTGGTTGCCTGGAACTAGAAAGCAGATTGCAGATTCACATCTAGGATACTGGATACATCAACAAGAAGTCAAATCATCTTGATGTCGATCACCAGCATGGACAAAAGGCAACAAATCTTCAATTTATTCAGGTACTCAATCTTGTTGGAATGGCTGTTGAGAGATGGAAATTATGTTTCTTTCATAGAAGGCGAATGTTTGAACGAACTATATTTTGCTTCTTGTGCTAGATATGTATGGTTGTAGTATTATATGCTGGTTTTAGCTATCTTTTAGATTTCACATATCCTGAATATCGGATGAAAAATAACTTTAGCCTTTGTGGAACTTCATACTCTTGATGTTAAAACAATTAACCTGTGTTTTTTTATCAAGGGATAGTGTATATCAACCTCTGTGTTATGTGACTAAGCATATTTATGTCGCAAACTGGGAATACATTTGTGTTGCCTCTGTTGTATATTATTATTATTATTATTTCACATCAGAATAGGGGAATTTTTGTTTCTAGTGTAATGTGGGCATTCTTGTCAAGACCTCAAGGGTGATTGCAGTGGAGATTGTTGCAAATGGTTTATGCTCTCACTTAGCTCATTATAAGAGGAAAGAAGCATAAATAGGAAACTGCAGAGAATAGCTCTGTCAGATGGTAGTTAAAATTACATAGAAGCGAGGGACTAAATGTTCTTCTGGTTGTGATGTAACTTTCTTCTGTTAAGAAATGAAAGCCCTTGGAGGTCTTGGATCTTATGAGTAACTAATATATTTGCGGAGGCTGTGAACCTGTGCCATGTTCCAACAAGGGCATACCCAGTGCAGAGAGCTTCCGCTCTGTGCAGGGTCTGGGGAAGGGTGTCAGTGGCAAGCCTTACCCTCGCCTGTGCAATGCGAGGAGACCACGACTCGAACCTAGGACCTTCCGGTCACAGGCGGTAAGACTCTACCGCTTGCACCAGGCCCGCCCTTCGCCATGTTCCAACAAGCCATCCGATAAGTTCTTGCAGTATTTGAACTTGTAGGATCCTGAATTCCTGACACTAAGTATGCTATACTGTAAACAGATTTGCTATAGTGTACTCACCCAAATTTTTGGCCAATGAATAGACACCGTGTGGCCGTGCCTTACTCAACTCCTGCGAAGCTGGAGTTTGGGGAATAGGGTTTGGGTTTTGAGGGCTGGGAATGCCAGAATCCAGCATGTTTAAAAGGGAGGTTGGTGGCAGCAAGTCAGTCTAGCAGTAGTTGTTCTGTGGCAGGCATGGAAGCCTTGAGGCAAGGCGGTGGTGCTACCACCGGCAGGGTGGTGGAGACCAGTTATGTGGTGCTGGGGCGGGGGCGACGACAGCCATGACAGCGGTAGGTGTGGCAGAAGGAGGTTGCTGCCGATACGAACTCACGGTAGTGTCTCCTGCCAATGTAGAGCTCTAGCGAGACCTACCGCCCCCATGACTGGGAAGGCAGACTGCAGACCGTCTGGGGCAGCGGTGGGGTTGTCCTGAGCAATATGGAGCTGACTTGAGGATGAAGATGACCGAGGGTCTTTGAATGCTGATCCGATAGTGGAAAGCTTCAGGTGTGAATGTGTGATGTCCTTAAAAGATGCTATGTAATCAGGCACATGAAGAGTGATCTTATATAGCGAGTTAAGATCCTCTCTTCGTCGGATTTGAACTAAAGTTGAACTTTTCCACACATCCATCAAGATTTCATGAACATTTAATTTCACGACTCAACAGAGAGCCGGTAATTGTACCAAGAGTGTTTCATCTAGATGTAACTTATTTTTTCTCTCTCCTTAGAAATGTTGCCATACCATCAAAATCGTCTATGTGGCGGTCTATTAAATGTAAATGAAACTCCATTTGAGATTGACCTTACTACGATTGAGACCTAATTAAGTAGCCATATGTGACGAAACATCTTCCACCATCATTAATATAATTCCATATTGTTATGCTAAATCTAAGTGATTTACACTAATCTGGCCGGCCGGCAATGCCTAGCTATAGCTCCACAAAGTCAACTCCAAACCTGCGAAGTCCAGTGAGCTGCTGGCTCTAGGATTCTAGCATCTCCCAACAGTGGGCTACGAATCGACTGGCCCAACCGCCCAACTGACGCCGACTTCGCTCCACGCCAAACGAGGTTGGAGAGTATCGAAATGAAGAATCGTATAGAGACAACTGAAATAATAGAGCACGATCACGATCACGATCACGATACTGATGGAAGGGAGAATGATTTTGTGAATCTGAACTCAATCAATAAAGATTGTATGGGACATTAATATTCTCCTGAATCAGGACAAAATTCCCTCCTACATAGTACTATGTTATATATATGTTGTGAAACGCGTATATAGCAGGAAGCGGAAGAGGATAAATTAAGACCATCCTGGCATCTACGTCTTTTTTTGAGGAAACATCCTGGCATCTACGTTGAGGAAGGTTCTTGGTTTCTTGATTTGCACATCCGTAACACAAAAGAAAGAAGGATGAAATTGAAAAATAAATATAATTACAATAGAAAATCTATGAACGGACACAAGAGTTTTTTTAGCTGCAAGGGCATGAAGAATACTAATGAAAAGAAATCACGATTTTGGGGTACGGTATTAAGAACGGGTAATTTTTTAATGTAAATTTAAGAAATTATTACTTAAGTACTCCCTTAAGTAATCAAGGGTTTAAAATTTGTACTAAAATATAAGGTATTCTAAGTCTTCAGATCCTCTCTCTTATGTCTTTATTAATCTAACACTCCTTTTTCTTCTAAGTACACTATATCTTTCCACTCTAATTCATGGCAGGAAATAAATAAAATGTAAAAATTCCTTTTAAACTATGAAAGCAATAACTGAACTACTCACTCCCTCCTAATTAGTGAGGTGTAATGTGGTACTTTTGATAGACTCTTTATTTTGTCTGAAAATTGCTTTGATTTCTTATATTTCAGGACGGAGAGAGTATATTACTATAATGATATATATGGGTATTTATTCAGATGCAAACGTAAGAGGTTCCAAGCAGATGTAGGGACAACTTAATTGAGATGTCTTTCATAATGTCATATGCGAGTAATTTACACATAGATTTAGGTGATAGTTGATGTTTTTTTTCCTCAAGGTAGCAATTGCGAATAACTTTTTAGAAAAAAATAGAATCGATAGGTCCAATGGCTACTATTACCAATATCCATATTCTATCGTTGAATTGATTATCAGATGTTTTTTTTATTTGGGACTTGCTAAAATTCATATGCCTGAATTTTAGTTTCCTTTTAGACTATGGTTATTGCCTTATTATATATTAAAACTGTAGCTTTAGTTCGCTGTAATTTCTGTAGGCACAAGCTGTAATTTTCGCTTCCAGTTTAATGGACGTCGAAGGACCTTTAGTCCAAGTTATGTTCTCACTAACCTGGACTAAAGAGCTTTGACAAAAGTTTGATATGTTACACAAAGACAAATAATAAATGACAAAAATAATAATTTACTTGTACTAGTTGGTGGTACAAGAATATTGCCTGCAATCATCTTAATATTCAGGCACTTGAAATATAAAAGTGCTTTTTTATTTTCTTTCTTGCATATTTCATGAAAATGTGTAATTCTCGCTTTCCGAGAAGTCAAATATTTTTAACTTTAACCAACTATGTCAAAAATATTAGTATTTATGGTAAATAATTAGCATCATTATATGGATAATTGAATATATTTTTTATAATAAACTTATTCGGAGATACAAATATTGTTAATATTTTCTGTAAATCTAGTCAAACGTAAGAAAGTTTGACCAACACTATTCTGATAAGATTTTTTTATGGGACGGAGTAGTATATATTAACAATAGTGAAATATACATTTTAACCTATACAGTTACTTTGCACCCTGCTGTTTCGGCAACGAATGGGGTAGCACAGAGTAGGAGAGGCTTGCGGCGGACACCAAGGCCAGGTGCCTCTGTCATGTCAACCTCATCGATACCCTCCTGCAGGGACCAATCACCAAAGTGGTAGAGGAGCTGCACGAGCGCCATCTCCAAGACCGGCAGCCCATACGAAATCCCAGGGCATATCCTCCGTCCAGCACCGAACGGTATGTACTCGTCGCTACTCCCCATGAAGTCGGTGACGTTGCCCTCGAACCTCTCGGGCTTGAACTCATGAGCGTCCTCCCAGTACTTGGGATCCCTTCCGACAGCCCACGCGTTGACGATGACCCGGGACCTCGCCGGAATCGTGAAGCCCTCGATCTCGCACGCGTCGATGCTCTCCCGAGGCACCAGCAGCGGCACCGGCGGGTGCAGCCGGAGCGTCTCCTTGATCACGAGCTTCAGGTACGGCAGGTCGGCCGCCTGGATGTCGGCCTCTCCGAGACGGTCGCCTTGCCCCGGAACGCGTCCCGGACCTCGCGCTGCAGCTTGCCCATCACCCTCTGGTTCCGCATCAGCTCCGACATGCCCCAGTCCAGCGACGACGCCAGCGTCCCCGTCCCGGCGGTGAACATGTCGAATATGATCGCTTTGATGCTGTTCCGGTTCAGGTGGAACGACCCGGAGGAAGCTCGCTCCTGCAGGCCGATGAGGAGGTCGACGAGGTTCTCGCCGTCGTCGTCCTCGGCGGCGTCTGTTCGGCCTCGGCCAGAAGCAGACCTTGCCTGCAGCTTCTCGTCCCGGGCACGTGTCCTCTCCTCTATGACTTCCTCCAGGGTGGAGTCCACCGTCCTGTGGACGTCCTCCAGCGTGCGCCGCATGCCGGTCACCGCGGCGAGCACGGGCCGCCAGGTGGGGAAGAGGTCGGGGATCTTGAAGCCGCTGGACAGCGCGACCCCGGCTTTCATCGCCGTCAGGAAGCCGCCGGCGTTCCTTTGCTTGTTGCCGAAGGATGCGCGGGAGACGATGCTGATCGCCAGGTTGTAGAACATCTCGCTGAGGTCCACGGCCGTCGATGGCCCGGCTGCTCGTATCCTTTCCACCTGGCTCGCCATCTATACATGCATGCTTGTGCATGAGTAAAGACTGATGTACAAAATATCGTCTCAGAAGTAGTGAACTAGTGATCGAGAAGTCAGAGACCGTACCTCCTGTTCCCTAATGTGTCGGAAGGTGAGCACGCGGTTCGGGCTGAGGACCTCGGCGGCGCACAGCTGCCGGAGCTTGCGCCAGTACTCGCCGGACGGCGAGAAGAGGATGTCGGCCCAGCGGTAGAGCACGATCTCGCCGCTGAGCAGCCTGGGGCGGGTGGCAAAGTTGGCGTCGTGCGTCTTGAGCACCTGGCGCGCCATCTCCCTGGACGACGCGACCACCAGCGGGGTCTCGCCCAGCTGCATCATCATCAGCGGGCCGTGGACGCCCGCGAGGTCCCTGAGCGCACGCGGTGCGGGAGCACGTTCACCAGGTGGTGCATGCTGCCGATCACCGGCAGCTTCCACGGGCCCGGCGGGTGCCTCACGACCTTGCTGGGCTTCACCAGGTGCCTGAGGACGTGCACTAGGGCCACGGCAATGGCGGAGACGAGGAGGGGTTGGAACACCTCCATTGTTGGCTACGTATTGGTGACTTGTGTACGTACACCTGCAGCACAATTGAGCTAGCCGCGCGTGCGGTTTGCCGGTTACTTACGTAGCCAACTGTGAGCTGCTGTGTTTGGATCGTGGGGGCACTATATATAGCCAAGTGTACTCATGTGGGTAGCTGTTGCCATATGGCTATTGGCTAGTCGAAATTCGATCAGAAACAGACCGTTGCTCTCCCTCTCCATGCGTGAAACGGTCAGCTATCATCATTTGTCGTATTGTTGAATGGTCCACCGTGTTCGGTGTTCCGATGATATTGTATTGCCCGAGCGTCGAATAAGCTCTTGCAAAAACCAAGAGGTCAACCCCGTTGCTTCTCTGGCAACACTAGTGAACTGCTCCGAGCATCACGAGTCACGACCTACAAGTATCTCGAGACCACTTCTTGTGCATACTGTCCTGTTCGCTTGGCTGATAAGCCATGACTGAAAGTACTGTTGGCTGATTTGTTTGGAGAGAAAAATACTGTTCGTTAGCTGAAAAAAGTACGGAGCGAACAGGACGTACCGTAGCCCTGCAGCACAATTATTGAGCGGGGCGCGGTTAGTTGGTTACACGTAGCCAACTGTGAGCTGCTGCTCACTACATCAGAATAGCACTTCACTGCCGGTTCAAAACACCCCATCACTGTCGGATTTTGAACCGGCACAACCATACCGGCAGTGATGAGGGTAAGATATCACTGTCGGTTCCTACAAACCGGCATTGTTCTTCAACTTCACTATCGGTTCTTTACACAACTGGTAGAGTTCAGTTCTACCAACACTGTCGGTTCATAACACCACCCCGTAGAGTTCGGTTCCACAAACACTGTCGGTTTGTGTTTCAACCGGCAGTATTCTCGTAAGAATCACAGCCGGTTTGTGACAAGAACCGGCAGTAAAACACTGTCGGTTTGTGTTTCAACTCGTAAGAATCACTGTCGATTTGTGACAAGAACCGACAGTGATGTATAAGCCAACGCTGCCGGTTTGTGGCTGCAGCCGGCAGTGCCATCTTGGCCATCACTGCTGGTTTGTTTCTAACCGGCAGTGATGTTTACCACAACACTGCCGGTTTGCTGCTAACCGGCAGTGATGGCACGTTCACATTTTATTGTTTTATAATTTATTTTAATTTATATTTTTTCGTGGAATCAGGTTTCGCTTTATATACGCTACGTAGACGACAGGTCCATCAATATTAAACATTACAAATGTTACGGTTACAGTTCAAATGTTCTTATCAAGATCTCAATCCCTTAAAATAAAAAAGAAATATTCTCGGACTTTACAGATTGTGCAATGCTTCTCGGACTTCTTACAATAATCTGGCGAGCCGCTCTAGGCCATATTGGTCCTTGAACTTCACGAATTGTGTGATGGAAAATACTCTATCTTTTTTCAATACCTCGGCTAAGATGAATTTTGCCAGCTCCGATTGCAGTGCGACGATCTCCATGTCTAACAACCTTTCTTGCGCTGTCGTTCAAAAAATATGATATCCAAAGAGGAATCAGTAAATCATTTTGTTGAATTATTAACAGACATAAATGAAATGGGAATTATACACACCAACTTATCGGCTTCTTCCGATTTCCCGCCGATGTAGCGAAGCATTGCCCATATTACATAAAATCCGCATTCATTGTTTTCCGCCGGCTGTTTTAGGTACTTCCCCTCTATTTCGACAACCTTAAATGGGACCTGCGTCCCACCGATATGTCTTCTTCGGACACTGAGCAACATTAAAAGGAGAAATATTAGAAAGCGGTATGTGTGATTAGAAAATAATATGTTATTAGGACTGCTTACTAATTCAGCACTGCCACCAGTGCATCCAGATGATGAAATGATTTTTTCTTTGAGTCCCACACCTCGATCAGATTTTTGGCAAGATTAACACAAATGAAGACGAAATGGTTGCTGCAATCACAGAATCCAAATTATCGAATAATCTTAACAAAAAAAAGAAGCATAAAATTAAAAGCCGAGAACACATACTCATAGTTGTAGGTTAGAAGTATGTGGTTTTTGTTCTTCATCTTGAATTCGTCGAAAACAGCAATCAATCTCTGTTTCAGGTCTTCCACGTCACATCCATGGAGGCCTAAACATGTCTTCTCATTGACTCGCAAGGGGTCCAAGAAGCCTATGTTATCCCATTTCCTTTTTAGAATGCAAAATTTTGCTATACACCTACATAAAATCATAGGAAGTGCTCAAAAGTTAACAATTTGTGTCCCGAGAGAGTAGTTAATTGTAATATCGTGCGTGTAGGGTACTTACATAGTCCACAGCGTCAACATTTGTGTATCGAGAGAGCGTTTCTGGTATAGCTAGAACAAGCACTCCCACTCGACATCGAACTTCTATTCTTCAGGATAATGAAAAACATGTGGCGAACGGATAATAACCTCAAAACCAAAGTCCTCCGTCTCTGTTGTTTGAGCCATGGCCATGCAATATTCATGCAACTGGTGTATATATGTTGTCAAATTTTTATACTCATGATAGGGAACCAAAAGATTGCCCCTTTCATACTTCATTGCCGGTGTTTCCGTCCCTTGTACATCATAATAGATGTTCGCGGCCTCTTCCATGGTTAATTCGGGGTTGTCTTCGATGTACTTCTGTATCTTCCTTAAATCTTCATTGTGTACTTCTTCGGCTTTTGTTGTAGCGTACTGATTCTGTGTTTGCCTTTCAAATTCGGACTTCAACAAAAACGGAGGCAGTGAGGCACATAGATTGAAGAAACTAACACAATCTTCCTTTAAGATGTGTGCTGTAAATTTTTCTATCAAGTTTGTAATGCTGCCACTGAACGACCTTTTTCTTTTTTGTTGGTCCACTTTGGGAGCATTAGCGACCGAATCCAAGGACCTTTTCTGCCACTGCGAGGATGCCTTTGATCTTGTTTTGGGCTGAGGTGGAGGAGGAGGAGGATGACGACAAGAATTCTATTTTCCTGGGGCTGATGAAGATGGTGGAGGAGGAGGAGGAGGAGTCTTCTCTTTTCTCGGGGCTAATGAAGATGGAGTCGGACGAGGAGGAATAGAAGTAGACCTCTGTCTTCTCGGGGGTGATGGCAAGGGATGAGGAGGGGAGTGATCTCTGTTGGGAGATGGTGAGTGATCATCGTGGGTGGGCGAAGACTCGCAGTCGTCCTCATCATCAGAGGATAATTGGTGGTCAAGCTTAATGAAGCGCTTGCGTCAGGCCACTTGAGAACCCTTGTTATGACCAAGTTTCGGCCTGTCTTCCACTACGGCTTACTTAATGTGTATCTTGTTATACTTCTTATCAAGTATTCTGTCAATGGTGATGCGAGCGTACACCTGTGGAATTGGACGGCCATTAATGGTCTCGTCTCCCATAGGCCTGGCCTGGCTGAGCGCCACCTTGTCCTTTGTCCATTCCTAACGGATGTACAACTTGACATTGACGGGTTCAGTGATGCCGTCCACCGGATGAGGCACATTCGCCTCTTCTTAGTCGAGCGGAGTCGATCTACAGCTGCTGTGACCCCTAAACTATGGACTAAAGGCAGTAGGAGTAGGGTTTTGTGGTACTCCTGACCCCTTGGACAACAAAATTTGCTACACTCATGCTTCAACAGTCGCCTCAATCCATGCGGCCATTCTTTCTTCCATCTCTTTTAGTCGCCTCAAATACTCTGCCTCCTGATCCGCTCTACCCCTCGAGCGGCTCCGGTAAGTGTTAGATTCTTGGGGGAATGCTAGTTTCCAAGGAACAACATTGGTTCCTCTTGTGCGACCAGGGTGCTCCTTGGTTCCGAGTGCTTGGGTGAGCACGTCTTTCTCCATATTAGAAGTGTGAGTCCCTTGCCTCACCTCCTCAGTTATCTGGGAGATCCTCTGGATGAGTTCGCTCATGGGTTGATTTGTAGAGCTAAAGCTCCCATCCTCTGTGTGGCGTACATTCCTCCCCATACAATATATTACCGATCTTGGCTCCCAATCGGCGGTCTCAACCTGAACGCCTTCCTCAGCAAGGCGATCCATCTTTTCAAGTTCTGCTTTAAATTCTAGCATCTTTTTGGCGTAGCCACGAGAGCCGAGACGATGAGGATTCGTCGCTTTTTATGAGTTCTCCTTATTCTTCCTGCTCAGTTTTAAGTACTCCTCGGATAACCTGTATTCCTTGAAATCCTGTCAGAAGTCCTTCTGGTTGCTAAACTGTCCACCATCAAAATCTAGCTCTTTATTTTGGAGGACAAAATTCTTGTACAATGTCCCCTTGAAATTCTTGAAGCATGTCCCCATGATTTCTTTTGCTTTTTTCTTGACTAACTCCTTGTCATACTCCGTTGGGAAAGTGAAATACTCTGGGATCTTGATATCTTATATGTAATCCTTCTCACTTTTAGGAACCCTCCATGGGTCATCATCTTTCCCAATCCACTTCCTGTACCTAATTGGGATGAAGTCCCTTACAAGTAACCTGAGGATAGTCTTGTATTTGGTCAAAGCTATAGGCAGTGAGAGTGGATCCCCGAATTCATCGAACTCAGTGATGTGCCAGTGTGCATTCCTACCAACAGGAATCTTTGACACTCCTCGCTTGGATCTGACCTTCCTGCTACCCGAACTCTCTGCCTCCTTGGCCGGCGGAGGCTCCTGCTGGAGACACCAAGTTAGCTATGACCCTCTCAATTGATTAGCGTGTGTGGCTACATAGTCACATGATACAAAAGTTACCTGGCCATCTTGGTCATTTTGACCCAGATCAAGCAGGCCGGACGGGATCCATGGTTGCTCGTTCTCACCGTCCTGATTGACACCGTCACCGTTTGTCGGATCATGCGTCTCTCCCATCCCAGCGATATCAGCCGCTTCTTGTTGTCGATCTGTTCTTCGGCGATAGGGTAACAGGCGAGGATGAGTCATGGCTATGACACGATCGTGGTTAGTTTTGGCTGCGGACAACTACTAATAGCATATGTTCATATTATATATATA